GTTGAACAAAAATAAATTAAAAACAAAACACTGTTAAGAGTAAAGTATGGTCAAAACTAAAAAAAAAAAAAAAATATCAGACCATACTTATACTATTATAATGGCATGTTTTTGATTTCAATATCAATTGCCGAGAGAGCAAATAGGCTCAGTATGAATTCAGCCGTGAAAAAATAACTGATGACATTGTGTAAAGCATTATTCATGAAACAAGAAAAAATTGATTATATATATATTATGTACATGTTATTCATATACAAAACAAATGCATTCACATTGAGGTAGGAGTAACGATAAAAGAGAGGAATGCAAATAAAACTATTTTATTACAATTGTTTTAGAGGGATGTTATTTCCGGGCTGGTTCCAGCTGGGGAAAAAACAATTTATTTCTTCATATAGGTGCTACATCATGGCTTTCAATCCCTCTAGCAATTTTGATTTCATTTTAAATATTAAGTTTTTATAATATCGATTTAGAGTTGGCCATAAAGTGCTGTTGGCATTTGCAACGATGGGAATTCGTCTAAACAATGCGTACATTTGATTTATTATCAATTTGATCAATCAATAAAATTCTAGAATTTTGTGTTACGAATAAAATTAAAATTTAATACTAAGACATTATATTTTGATTTTATTCTCTATGATTAAGTATTAATTATACCTAATAATAATAATAATGAAATGGTATAGAATATTGAATACTTATCTTTGAATTCCTACTTTATTTCTTATAATAGTATATTGTATTGTGTATTTAAAAGACATGGTATAGCTACATTATATTTATAGAAATTAAAATATATAATAGAATAAATACGAAGTTATAAAATTAATTATTTGATAATCAACACTGTCCATAACAGCTATGTGTGACACGTACATTTTCAGAAAAGTAATATATATATATATATATATATATTATATTCCCGATTGTTTTAGACTTAAATTAACAACACTGTCCTTTCATTTAAATCTTAGTAAGTATTCTTACAATTCTTTTTATAGAAAATAACAAAAACTATAAAATTACAAAAAAATATGGAAGAATAGTATTTAGTATTTTTAGATTAATCATAAAAAACTGAGTATATTATACTTGCTGTTGGCCATATTATTATTGATGAAAACATACAATGGTTATGACAATGGTTAGTGCTATCCTTGCTAAAATGTCGTTTTTAAAGTGTAAAATAAATAATGGATGTTCAAAAACACGATAAAACATTTAATTACATAACACTACATCGTACCTATTTTAATAATACGCATAAAAAACTAATTATATTGATAAAAAAAAAATCGTATAACTTAAAATTAACTTGTAAAGTTTTGTACATTTTAACATTTTATATAAGTATATAACCTAACTTATTCATTAAAAAAAAAACTCTAGACTAAGCGATTTTATAATACTAAGTTTAACTATTAGAGTAAAACCTGTGTATAATATAATACGTTTAGAACATTTTAATATAATAATTAATATTATGTATATTTGTAATATTAAACCAATGTTTTCAAATAATAAGATGGCCTCATCAATTTGTTAATTAATAATTATATAAACCGTTTTTATATGAAATCTTTACGTCATTGGATTGACATTGAAGTTCAATTACGAATACTAAAAAATAGTGTCAATTTAATACAATGCACATGTGGGTACTAAAATACTATACGTACAGCTCCTTTACTGTCAACATACATATACACATATAAACATACGCACGTGCATATATACATACATACTTATATATATATACATTCATGCATACATGCATACATACATTCATACATACATACATACATACATATATACATACATACATACATATATACATATATACATACATACATACATGCATTACCCCGATATGCGAACAAGGAATCATTAGAGAAAGAAATAGAAGATCCCAGTTGAGCGATGGAATTGAATTATATGAACGCACGTCAGCCGAGTCACGAGTGATTTTATAGAGATGGGAAGGTAGAAGTCTAATAGAGTATGAAATCCGATAAATTCGCCGTTTTATATTCAACCGACGAAATGGCATAGGATGGAGTAGGGAATAAAAACCGCCCTCCTCGTGAAATCTTATCGGACAGCCAGTACCCACTGACGTCTAAATTGACATTTCACATACGTAACAAACTAGTCTTTACTAGTTTGAAATGAAAATATATTAAAGCACACTAAAATTCGATAGTCAAAAATCTCTGGAAATTAAAATAAACTCATATACTGACGATATAATAATAGATACAATAGTTTCAAAATTATATTTTAATAAGTAACAATTGATTCATAAATTAAATAAGTACTTGAAGTGGTATTCTTTTAGTTTTTAATAAACCAATCAATAAATAAAGAAGAAGTTTGCTATTCAAAAAGTTACCAACGCGGTAAAGTTGAAAATCGCATTTAATTACAATTAATGGCGATCAATGGTATAAATAAATTATGATTATTGAAATGTCATTGACTAATTAAATATTGAAATACGAATAATTAAATAGTATTATCATAAAACAATAAAGCTAACTGAATTCATTGACATTATAAATTTGAAATAAATGAACAGTAAACTTTCTACTTATTTTACCATTAATATATCTAACACAAACATTTAAAATAAGATTAATATTTAATTTTTATTAACTAAAATCATTAAATTGTACATATTTCAGTCAAAAAAATCACGATTTAAAATATTTATTAAACTATAAAAATACATGTATATTTAAATACTATTGATACATAAAATTTGTGGAAATTTGTGAAATTCAAAAAATACGAAATGAGGTAAGTGAGTACCTACAATATACTCAGTATATATAACAATATATATTAAAATATACATTTTTACTAATAATCGGTATGTATTTCATATTTTTTGTGTAACAGTTGTGAAAAATGTTATTAAATTATTAGTATAATCATTATGGGCAAAAAATGAATCAATTAAAATTATCCCTAACTGGGTTATCAATACGTGTCTCACTTCTTTCACAATATAGTAAAAAATTGTTTAACTTATTTTTCTTTTTTATTTGAATACGGTGATATCCAACGCTAGTGAGCGAAGCTTACCAAAACATTTTAATTTGTTTTATTGAATCAACATATTATCATTCACTCTTTATTAAAAAGTTTTAAACTTAAATTTCAAATTTGAAACTAAAATTTTCAACAACAGAATAGATTTTTATTAAATGCTATTTAATAATCTATATTAAATAAATATAAAATAATTTAAAATCGAAATTAATCAAAAATCGTATATTATTCACTATTCTATAAAACTATATACAATAAATAATTTTTTATTTATTTAATTTTTTAATTATAAAAAATATAAGGAAGTATTAAATTTAAAGTACGCTCGTTTTAAAGAAAAATTAACACCAACATTACAAAACCGCGAACTCATATGCTCTAATTAAGAGAAAATTAATATTTACTCTCCAAAACAACTTATTTATATTATAGTTTAAAAATTAAATGGCAGATTTGTAATGTCAAGTTTGAAACAGCATTGAAAATATAAATAAATCGTAGATTTATAGTTACCCGCTAAAGGTAACAGGAAAATGTTCGTATATATATTATACTGAATTAAAAATTAATCTTTATTGTTTTCTGTGTATTTACGAAAAGGGCAATAAAACAATCTACTCGACAAATTAAACGAAATCCTTTGACCTAAAATCTTATCAAAACAAATGGAATTGTATACAGAGTAATTAAATAAGCATTGAAAAAAAAAATGCAAATAATTTTAAATAAATAAGTCAGTAGCTAAATATCAAGTTGGAAAAACATGTATAAATAATAAAATAATGAAAGTTATTATTATAACTATTATTATAACTTTACATTTGCCAATGATAAAGATATGTCATCTACTCTATATTTATCATAATAATTTAAAAGTGTGAAGCCTCCACAAAGCACTTTCCACAACGTCACACGTTTTTATGAGGCTTCAACATAAATATATATAAATATGTATACAAAATATATATGTATTTAATTTAATAATCTACTCGCGTACCCTCCGCTGTCATATCTTTGAACTGATATACTCGCAATAAATAATATTATACATCGAAATTTAATAATTTTAAAAATCTGTTTCGTCTTCAGTATTTTAGGATTTCCAAGATCAGTGTTTTATTTGAAAAATCGAATCAATTCAACAACCATTTTTTTCGAGGTGATATATCACATCATAACTATATATATAACTGTATATGAAGTAAATTCAGCTATTATATCACCCCTTTTATTATAACGAATTTGATTTTTTTTTTTTTAAATAAGCTATACTTTAATTTAATTTGTTGACAGATAAAAGAATCAACAATATTAAATCCATCAAATAAGTGCCTGATTACTGGGTCACATTATCAGAAAACTATCTGCGTAGGGAAAAGATAAAATTCAATAACTGCATGTCTTATGCGAGAAATTATTACACTAAACTTGATACATTTGATACTTCAATTTTTTATGGTAACTCATAAATTCTAAAATTTGTGTTAGTATATTACATAATAATTCTATCCTGTATAAAGCTCTCGTAGAATCGCAATATTTCTGTTTTCCTTCACAAATAAGATTTTTATTATTATTATCATTATTATTTTTTTTTTTTGAAGTGAAAAAAAGTAATTAATTCAACACATATTACCTATCTATAAATATTAAAACAGATATCAACCACTTTACTGTTCATCGTGAGTTCTTAATATTTGTAAGCAAGCGGAAATTGATGTAAGTAATTGATATGATTGTTATTCAAAAACTTTATAATGATTATCTATTATTTAAAGATAACATTATATATATAATAGGTATAGAAAAATATCGTTTAGATAGTAACAATAATGCAAGAAAAACTTTGTCTGTGAACTTTTTAACTTACTATACATTATAAGTCTAATCTGAATATCTCAATATATACTTTTATTAATAACTTCATTGTAGTTTACCTCGTTAGTGTTCCAGCGATGTCTTTGAACAGGAAAATGCTCAGCACGTGGCAAACTCTCCAAGTTATCTGGCAATTTAATTGGTTCCCCTTCTGAAAATGTAATTAAACGTTCATGGTATGATAAATACTTTACGTTTATAACCGTTTAATAGATATATTATATCACATTAATTATACAGCATTTATATAGCATACTTAAGTACTATTAACAATTTAATGAAATTTTAAAAATATCTAAATCAAAATATTTAAATATTTAATAATAAATTATAAATGAAAATCGAGTTAAGAAATTAAATGAATATTATATTATTATGAACAAGATAAGCATACAAAAAATTAACAAAACAAATACTTAGCTCTAAACAAAGGAATATTTACAATGACTATAATAACATTTCATTTTATTTTCCTATAACCTTATTATAAAAAAAATACCTATGCAAATTAAAAAAAAAAAAAAAAAAAATTATCAAGAATATTTTTTCTGATTTTAATTTATATTTATTTTAAATTTATATTTAAGCTTAAAACTTTAAATACATTAGAATATAGTTAGGTATATAATTATTTTTTTAAGGATGAGTAAACAATTTTATCTGTCTTCATGTTATTAACGTAATCAAGAAATATCAATATTCTATAACACGTAACATAATTTTTCTCTCATTTTATTTATAAAGAAAAAAAATCAATAGTTGTAATTTTAGTAATAATATCATTTAAATTTAAAATTTATATTTATTTAATTCACTTATGAATAAAATATTTCAGTTTATACTTTTGTGATATAAATTTGATTTTTTTTTAAGTCATTAAATATTTAGTTTGAAAAAATGATGTAAACTACGTTTATGAATTATTGGGTTAAGTATTTTAATTATTGTTCGTTAGTAATTAAAAAATTTGCAAGCTAGCTTGCATATATATATATATATATTTATATATATTAAACATCATATACATGTTTAAAATTGTTTTATACTTTTTTTCTTGGATTTTTTGTCAATAAATACATAAAGTCTACTCCTATATAATATAAAATACGAAAAACTTATATTTTAAGGTAAATGCATTAAAACACGTATTTTTCTTAGCAAAGTATGTAATTTATGACTGTATAATAGAACATAAAAAATTTAAAATAGTATAATATTAAAATAAAATAAAATACCATATTTCAACACCACTAAAATCATTATATTCATTATAAATTCAAGTTTTCTAAGTTCAATATTTTAATATTTGTATTAGATCGCTATGTCATTAAAAAAACATAAAAAAAAAAATGTTTGTTTTTTGAATTTAGCATAGAAGTGTATAATATTTTCTTCAAAAGCATCGTTTTAGTTTTTTGAGTAGATGAGTTATCAAAAGCGATGAGATAATAACCGTATAACGAGCATAATATCATTTATTAATTATTAAAAGATGTTAAAGTATTAAAAATACGTATTGTCAATATTTAATGGCACAAAAATCTTGTGATAATATCTGTAATTTTTAAATAAGCCAAAAATGTACTTGTCATGCCAACTCTCTGGATTATTTTTTATTCATCAGTCATCAGTCATCACTAATAAATTCTAAGCATACATTTTATATTTTAATGATATTTATTTAAATTGTAATTGATCAAACTATTGTTCTATTGAACTGGTAATTATAACTATGGTGAATTTAGTAATATCATTTAAATAAGTCAGACTTTGGACAGATCTCTGCTTCATTAGGGATTAAGTCACAGTAAACTTATCAACGAACTTACAGTTTCAGTTGTAACAATAATAATTACTTACGCTGAAACCTTCGATGAATTCTTAGTACTACTACTTGTATAATTACAATATTATTAATTAAATGTTTGACAAACGAAATAAAAAAAAAAAAAAACAATTTAATTAATATTAAGTGTATAAAAATATATGCAATTAATCATTTGAGGAACACCAACATATATACTATAAAGACTAATATTTTATACCTAATCTGACTCTAACACGTTTTGAACAAAATAAATGCAGATATAATATCCTCTGAATAAATCTAAAAAGTAACTTTTTCAAAACAAAAATATGTCATATTGTATAAAATAAGCAAATACTTATAAAATGACTTTCATATTTATCTAGTCTCTAACTTAAGGAAACTTTGTGATACACAATTTATTTTTATTCTGTTAAATAACTATAGATAGGTACATAAACTGTTCAAAAAACTGTTTGTTTAATAAATTTAAACTACTAATTATAATTAGATTAATATAATATGATAAATAATAATTATTTTAAGACTTAAGTTGTCAATTCAATGTTATAAATTCATATAAAGTAATTTGGGAATAAAATCATTTTTAGATACAAAATAGTATTGATCTTTATTTTTTGAACGTAACAGTGTTCAATTTCATAACATCTAAAGAAAATGTTCGCTCAAACTTTGATTTTAAGAAACTACAATCTAGTACAATATTTTAATATTCACGGTTGGAATTCAAAGCAATATTATTTCATGAATTTTCCATATAAAAATTTTCTTTTTTATATTTCACAGTATAATTTAATTTCTAAGAATCTACACTAAATAAGGTAATTTTTAAAATGATATTCACTTTTAAGTTTAACGACAAGTTTTAGTTTTATAAAATAATGAAATTGGATATTATAGACTTAAAATAAAGTTATATGCAGTATGGGTACACAAACCATATGGATATACAAACCAATATATTATTTTTATAATTATTATATTTAAATAGTAAATTAAATATATAATTATATGAAAATTGTAAATATACAAATATAAAACAAAATAGTTTAAGTTGTATTTAATTTAAATGATAGACATTATCAAAAGGTATCTCATTCTTTTGTATGGTTTTAGTGTGTAAATATACTTGATTTACATACGAGTAATAATATGAAAATTAATTGTATCAGTAAAAGTACTAACTATAAACACACTTATGGATACATTTATACCTATTAATAACGTTTAAAATAATATGCATAATTAATTTAACTTAACGTTTAAATATAGGCACCTATTCACAATGATTTTTAAAAAGCTACGTTGAATTGTGATAAACTATATTTTTATGATTTTAATCGATACCTAATAATTATCATTACAATATTGTTTATCTATATGTTTATCATTTGTAACATTATTTTACTTCTGCAGAATATATACATAGTATAAAAATGTGTAAATACACAACTTTTCACATTAGTTTTATTTTAGATGCATCTAATGTTTGTCATAATAATACAAAACGATTGTTACAATTTCGAATACTCATTTTTCATTAAAACTGTATGCAATTGCCATGACAGTGTCTATAAGTGTGTTACCAATGTACACCCGATGTTTATCTAAATTACAATGTTGGTTAATAAATCCCAGTGTGAAAAATAAGCCAGATATCTATATCATGGGCTGTATTTGACAGTTTACGAATTGCATTTATAAATAACATCATGGTTGATTATATTTTTACTGTTTACCCCGGAGGGGTTTAGTATATTTTACTGTCCACATTTTTATTTTTAAATTTTGATCCCTAAACAAATCTAGAAATGATTTACCCATCTACCTCCAAAGGAATAAAGATTTTCATTACGATTTCATTAAATCAAAAGAACATTACTTATATATATATTTGTATCTTCAACAGTTCAACAAACTACTATTATTTATCTTGTTAAATAATAAATTTCAATTAAAGTTTATACCTAGTGAAAAAATAAGTTTAGTGTTCTTAGAATTACATAAATTTAAAGTTATTGAAAATCCAAATATTATGTTTATAAAAATGACTTAAGCTTGTATTTACAAACACAATATGAAATATTTTTGAAGTCAGTATTAATTTTTATATGAGCTATTATTCCATTTTATCCCGAAATGAACAATTTATACACCAAGACACCAAGACTATCTACTGTATTGCTTAATATTTAATAATTTCATAATAAGTTATTAGAACTTTTGTAGTATGTATAAATATATATATATATATTACTTTGATTTAATGGAATGTGATTGTGTGTTGCTTGGGCGTGAGTTTGTAGATGTATTCTTGTATGGTGTTGTTGACTGTACAGTGTGACTGTTTCACCCGTACAATATTCTGCAGTGAACGACTCATGACGACTAGACATTTTATTTTTACCTGCGAACAAAAAAAAAAAATACAATATATTATAAACTAAACGCTAATGATTAATATTTACTGTACACTATGAAGAATAGCTATTTTAAAATAAAATGAGACCAAATCACTGTTTACTATTGAGTAGGTTAGTATATGTACCTACATATATTACCTACATTTAACAGCTCCCTTCATATTGAGATTAAACACGAAAAATAACATGTGTATTATAATATGACATTGTACAACCGTAACAACCCCGAAAAAATGTGCTCTTTATATAAAGGGTTAGACTGCTAACTTTAACCAGCAGCTAAAATCTCTGTTCCCATATTCAACTTCAAATAAAATCATACACGAAGCTATTAAGCCACCAATAGCTAAAATTTATTCAGAGAATGTATCTGATATTATCTGATATAATTTCATTTCAAATCTAATTTATTTATGATACCCTTAAAAATGTTCTTTATCCTCAGTTCTTAATACATTTATTGCTAAAAACGTTGCTTCCTGACTATAATATTATCCATTTCTACTACCTATATTATACTCTCATTAATATCGTATAAATATTTAAATTGTGATCGTCATAAGTTTAATAAAATTAATAATATGTACCATAAATCAATTTTTGTTATTAATGTTTGTTTTTTTTTTTTTTTTTAATTTAATTGAATAGTATAATATTATGTATTAATTAATTTATACTTAATAATTGTCTAAACTAATGATTTTATATCGAGTTTTCTTAAATAAAAATAAATAACGCTACGATTTGTCACTTATCTAATAACGCTAGTAAATTCCATAGGATGTCTAAAATTTAATTTTGAACTAACCAACTGAAGCTTTACCTAACCGATAACTTTAATCGCTTCTCTTTAAATGTTTTCTTCTTTTGACATGGGATTTAGTTTAGGGACTTTGGACTTGATTGAATGAACCAAAATATTCAACTGTTCTGTTATTTTGTATCTTACTTTAAATTAAATAACAACGTTTGATTGAATATATTTACATATATATATATATATATATATATATATATATAATATATGTGTGTGTGTGTGTGTGTGTGTGTGTGTCCTTAAACAAGATGTAAACATAAGCTCAAAAACTACATTTATAATACAATAAAACATCATTAATTCGGACCCCATTAGATCAGACTTCGCTTAATCTAGACAGTCGTTTAAAGCTGTTTTTATAATTATTTTAGAATAATCCATTATATCCAGTTTCGCGTCTGCTGTCAAAGATATAAGCCATCAACTTTGATAAACATATGGATGAAACTTTTAATACATGGAGTGATTAAGCCACGTACTACTGGATTAGAAACAGAGGATTTTCACAATATTTTCAACCAAGATGGTGAAAATTCAACCACACTGGAAGAAACTGAATTTTGACTAAAAACCGATGAAGATGATCTAGATTCTAGATTATCACATTTTAACGGAGGAGGATATCGTTGAAAGTGTGATCGCTACAGAACGCTTTAAAACTAATGCATATGACAAGGATGAAGCAGATGATATTCTTAACTCAAAGCCAAAACTTAGTGAAATTAAATACCATTTAAACATTTTCATTAAATATGTTGGAGATAACAATGATCATAGAGAAACATATCATATAACGAACATTAAAGATATTTACGTGAGTTAATTAATAAAGAAATTATTTACGAGAAAAGTAGCCAACAAAGATCAGCAGTTTTTTCACACTAGTATAATTACTATATTATGTATGTACTTAATAATGATTTTTGAGGCCTAATACTATGTATGTATCTTGCATGTTGTACAATACATATTCTTAAATCTATAGGTAAACGTTTTTAGTTATTTTGTTTAATCCAGACTTTCATTAAACCGGAAAACCTAGAGCCCCAATTAGTCCAAATTAATGAGTTTATACTGTATATTTTACTTTATTATACGAACTGAAAATGTTATCATTCCATAAATATGATATTTTATATATGTATAACAGTATAACATCATATATATTAATTGATTATCAATCGAAGTAATGAATACATTAAAATGAATATTCTATGCCTGTGTAGCATTGTAGATATTATGCAAATTAGAATCTTTTGCGGTATTATGCATTTGAATAATCGTATAGTTATTTGATTTACCTACGATAAATTCTAACTATGAGATCAGGTTTTATTCTGATTGGTATATCGTTGATATAATATCAAAATATCAGCTCAACATCTAAGACTAAAATCGCATTGCTATAGTTTATTGATAAAATTAAATAATGATAAATTTTATCAATACCGTACCTAAATAACCATGTATCTACTATGGTATGTTAATACGTTTAGAAGTACTTACCTTCAGTATGTATTTTAAATAATTTTATTTACTGTATTCATCGAACTGTTGGTCAAATAATACATTTTTGGACAGAGTAATAATATTTAGGTATAGTATATTTTAAACAAATTGACAACACCATACTAGCAACAGTATAACCTCGAGTGCATACTCGTATATAAAATAACGCTATGATATATTATGATATAATATTTGCATACCTATACACACAATGATATAATATGTACATTGTACATTATATATCAAACATAAAGTGCAAATGTATTTCTTTTATACAGATATTTCGCTATAAACATTGAATTTACTTGGCACGTCTTGTCTTTGTCTTCGCCAAAATGTTTTTGTGGTCGACATTGTGTCTCCGTGGTTTACATGAATGTTCTTTTGTGAATACGTCTCATACATTCATAATATTTTATTGATAGTGTGTAGTATATAGGTAGGTTTACAGTGTACTATTTTTTTTTAGTAACTAATCAATTATTAATAAATCAATATTTAAAAGCTTACATATAAATGTAAGATGAAATATACATTTAAACGTCTTATGTATATAATAAATATACGCAACGTATTATTATACGGTGCAATATATTTTCAATAGAATAACTAGCTAACATTAAACCATATTTTAAGAAATAATACACACACATTATTATTATGCTATTCCATTTGAATCAATCGCACAATATTCATTATTTACTCAAACGTATTAATTTTATAGTTTCTAACTACCGACAATCAAAGTAAATAAGCGATGATAGTGTTCTCATTTGTATAGATAGGTACTGCATATCATACTCTACAGTATCTTTAAACATATTTATTGAAAAGCTTTTAAGTAAGGACTTAAGACATGTTATTTACTGTTCACAACCAATGTTATTATTTTTAATGCGTTTGTACATTTCAAAGAAGTAATGATTCACAAAAGCATAATATCTAAGAATATACATAAAAAATGTATTTTAGGTGATTTTGACATGATAATAATTGTTGTAAATTGTAATAGAATTATTAAATACTCGTAATATCTGAAACAGATGGGAACTTATGTACTAGATCCCACAAATTAAATTTAATTAAAGCATATTTGATTTTAATCATTTTAAAATTGATTTTTCAAGTATTTTACGTGTGCATATTAATTTTTAAAAACTTTAGAACAGCAAGGTCATAGTAATTGTTTAGAACAGTACTACCAAATTTTTAGGTGGGTCAAACGTTTACAACGCCACAAGATCACCACATATGATAAAGTAGGGATGTCATTATATGACGAAATACAATACAAAAAAGATATTTTAAAAAACTACTATAACAATAAAATCTTTAACTTTAATCATGAACTTTGTTCTCGTTCCTTCGGCGATATTTTTTTTTGTATTAAATTTTCAATATTCACAAAAAAAAATATATAATTTTAATATAACCTATCAATACTTAATAGTTCGAAAATGGTTATTATTTTATCATGTATATTACTTTAAATTCTGATTGAACTGACTGCAGTATAAAATCTAAACAGGACATATATTATTGGGTTTATGGATAAAATAGGACCATTTCCTAATTTATACCTAGCGATACCACAAACGGTACCTTTCCTACAGTGCATTAAAATAGCTATCATTACTAATTCATGCTTTAAAATTAAAATATTCGCATACTGTGCGCAGCACTGAACAGTAAGGCTTTTAAAACGTAACTCTATATGCTTATACGGTTATAATTTGCATGTTTATTTTTCTAGTTTTATTCTTGGCTTCGAAGTTTGATTTAAATTCAATGATTTGAGTTTCTCTAAAATCTGAAACTTAAGTAGTAAAATTTATATTCTAAACATAATTACGTGGCTGAAAATAAAATTTAGACGTTTTTATGTAATAATTATTAATTTTATTTGTTTCCAAATTATGTTAATTATGAAAATAATATCAGACATTTTCTATATGTTTGTAAGTGAAACTGTTTAATATGTCCGTTACTGAAATACTTATAAAACCCTCTAAATACACTGTGAAAATAATTTTAATGAATTGTGTCCTTGTAGTGTAAATTTTGCTTGAAAATTAAATTTACTGAGATTCAAAAACTCTCTAAAGTCTAGATTAATCAAATGTATTACTAAAAGAACTGTCAACATAGTTTCTGTTTATTAAAATGCAATTATCAACGTTTTGTTCTTTTTTTTTATAAAATCGATTGTACAGTTTTATAACGTTACAGGTCTTCCGAGTCAACTTTATTTATCTAGGTTAAAGCTGGTTTTTTAATGTTTAAAAAATTTTAATTATTCTTATCATACATTTTAGCATTTTTTAAACCTAAATTTTTCAATATAACTTTAATTTAACTTCTTATTACCTTTTTAATTTAATTATTATCCAATATAGTTAAAAAATACTTTTGTTTTAGCCGTTTTAGGTCGTCTGTATTATATTTCCTTGAAAACATATTTTCAATAGCTTGATTATTAAATTAAAATAGTAATTAATAAAAATAGTAAAAAAAATTTGCACTGAAATATTTACTAAAGTACGTACGTTTTACATTGGTAACTATTAAGTAGACAGGTATTAATATACTATATGGTTTTAAAGTTAATAGATTTATTTTACGAGTACATTGTCTATGAAGAAACTATAGTTAAATCATTTAATTTTAGTACTTTTTAAATCAAAATTAGTATTCAAATATTGATAACACATACATATATTATAATTTTCAATATCTGAATACAACAACAATAATGCATTAGATGTATTAACTATTAATAATTAAGTCAGATTATTATTTATTTCCAGACAAATAAACATAGTTGTTACTTTAATTTAAATTATCATTATTGAATTATTGTAAGTTTTGGTTGATACCTACAAATTACAATCACTTTTAATGAATATTAATATTCTGTCGATTTTTTAAATGTTTAACATTTCATAATCATAATTATATTATGAAAACTTATTCAATCTAATACAAACATTTTTAGTTTTACATTTCTAGTAATGCTTGATGAAAATATGATTTTAGATTCCTCACTTGAGAAAATCTATTAGTTTTTTCACATCGAATATATATAGCTTATAATTTTTAGTCTTATACGCAAACACAAAGATGTTATTCGTTCGAATAAGTTTAATCAGCAAGTACCTAATATATGATCAAGAAACTACAATTTTATAAATTGGTACTATTTATTTGTTATTTGTCTTGCAAACTATAGTTATTATATTTTATTAAATAAATAAAATGCATATAAATCATTTGTTAATAGATACACTTATTTATATTACATATTATTATTCCAGTGATAAACATTTTATATGCTATATAACTTTTATAATGCTTAATTAAGTTAATTTATGGTTTTAGGTTATTTTGTCAAGAATAAAATGTCTAAAGTCAATAAAATATATTCAAACTTCAACAAAAAAAATAATATCGACGGTACATCGTTGCCAAGAGAAACATCGTAAAGTTGATAATTGACAATAGTTTATTGATTAGTAATACCATAAAACAAATAATTCTGTTTAAAAAGAGAGAATCTAATCTACTATTTATACAAGGATACAAGGTGATTCGCCAAAAATTTTGGCCTTGATTGTTTTAATTTAAAAAGAAATCTTTTTAACCTAAATAATATGCACATTCCATGTTAAGAATATTACAACATATTGTCGTCACAAAATACGTAAAAGAAATAATCGAAGACCATAAAAACACACAAACGACATACGTATTTTATAGCTTGTACCTACCTACTTCAAAATTAATAACAAAAATTAATAATATAATGTTATCTTTTTTGTATAATATGTATTATGTGCCTAATACCTATATATATATTATATTTATGTATATATATGTATAGTGATTTATTATGCATACTTATACCCATTTTTCTTATTTTAATTAATTTATTAAGATTTTAATACTTAAATGCTTTATATCAGTTATGAAGTATGCTTTGGGATACTGACTTTTTTTTAGTGAAAATTATCAACTTTATTTTTATAAGTTGGATGATTATTTTTAATAAGTTAGTGTATCCAATTTGAAATTGAAACAAGTGGTTTTTGAGTTATTTAACTTTGTGTACTTTGTCTATCATGTCAATGATATTAGAATAAATGTTTAAAAACGTTAAATAAATTTATAATGAAAAATTTTAGAAAGACATGGAGGCTATGATGATCTAAAAAAATTAGATATTAACATTAATCCATCAACATTTTATAATTTTTCAAAATCACTCTAGTAACATACATTTCATATTTTTTCAATTAAGGCCTATTTTTTTAAAGTTATCTGCTCAACAATTTTCTGTATAAAAAGGCAGTTTATATTTTAATATATAGGTTTGTATCGCCATATGCAATAAGACACATTTCAATTGATAAATCTATGTTATTAAAAATATTATCCATAAATATACCTACTTAAAAATTTCAAAATTTAAAAGTTAAATAAATTCATTATAAAAGAAAAATTGGGATGAGCATGCTCGGTGAACCATTCTATATGAATAAATAAAAAAAATATATATAATTCTACTTTTGATTTTGAATATCAATTGAAAAGTATAAAGTAAATCATATAATATGTTTGTTTTTGTGATTTTTCTTCACATACCAGTATGGTTTGTAAAAGACCATTTATTTAAATTGTATACTATATATTATGAGCTTATGTTAAATATTACACTTAAGCTATTCTGCTATTCAAATTCAAAAATAATTATAAACAATATATTATAGTACAATATTCTGAAATAAAATATTTACATTTTTACGTTTTAGTATGAATAAATTGGAACATGAAACTATAAAATTAAAAATATTTTTTTTTTCATCTAAAAACCTTAGAGCTTTATTTAAAACCTATATACATATCTGACAGTATTTAATCATTATTTAATCAATACCAATATTATTGTTTGTATTTATTGATTTATTTTAAAATTAAATGTACGAATGGGCAATTAAAAGTATTTTAATAAGCTTGATAACAATAATAATCATAGTACCTGTACAACAAAAATAAAGACTTGATAAAATATAATATATATATTAATTCCATATTTATAACATTAGTCATGGAAAGTTGAATTATAATTCAATTATTATTATATTTTTTATTTTATTTAAAATCACAATAAAGTATAAGTAATGGAATGTACTTGAATTAATCTAAATTAGTGAAATAATATTATTGTATACGCCGTACTTCAACAAGTTATTTAATTATTTACTGTTTATAAATTATCATTTTAATTTGTTTAACAGTCATAAATGTATTATCAAAAATTATACAAGAAACTGTTTATTACATCTTATATTGTTTCTATTATAGTAGGTACTTAAATATTTACATTTTATGTAAATATAACTAAATACTTAATCATAAAAGTATCTACTTCTGAGATACAATTAAAATTGATTTCTACACAGAGTGGAACTTTTTAATCAATTATTATATGTATCATTAATCTTATATAATTATACTATCAGACACTATTTTGATCATAACTCCCATGAGTATAAACTTTATACGTTGTTACTTACTTATATATTTGTTTAAAAGTTGTTTCATGTAGGTACCTAATTTAAAAGTCTAATTTTAAATAAGGGAATGACGAAACAGTCTATAAACTAAATGAACAATAATAAAAAATACTTTAAGAACCATAGTTCATCGTTGGTGCATTTAAGTAGGTACATTAAAAAAAAAAAAAAAAAAAAAAATGACTACATTATTTTGATAATATTTAAATGGTAACTTAATAAACACTAGAACATTATATAAAACATTCAAGTCAAAAGTTTACTATTATATAATATAGGTAGATTACATTTATAATGCTCGACATTAGAAATACCAACGACTTAATGATTATTATTATAGCCGTTACTCCAACTCTCTATTATTATACGTGCATTACTACAACACGTCGTTTACTTCACGATTTATAAAAAGTAAAACGAATAACAAATATTATGTTTTCAGGAACAAATAGCAAAATTTATTTCGTGTGATGATTTTCCGACAATATTCATGATAGAATTTTAATTTATATTATACAATTATAGACAATTCGTAAAGGAGTAAGTTAAATGTCACTAATCATAAAAATAATATATTACATTTAAGAACACCATTTTCAGGCTAGTATTAGTATTTCTTGTCCATTGTTGTTATTATAAGATATTTATTTTGATATCATGCCAATAGATACAATATGCCTAACTATCTACGTACCGTCGGTAAAAATGACAATCGTCTTTCATGTGAGCTCGCCGTCGTATTGTATAGCTGCGTCCCGTCAATCAGAAAGACATCGCAAAATCGAAGAAAAAAAATCGAGCTCAAAAGTCACGACCGTCGAGCATCTATGGGTATACCGATTAAAAAAAAAAAAAAAAAAAAAAATGCCGTGTTGTGATTCAAGATCTGCAAACAATTGTATTATCGCGATGACCGTTGATACAACGATTTTACTTTACGACGACGTCGTACGCGACGGGATGACCAATCGGACGAAAACGGCGGAAAGGCATTACGAAACACGCGTTTGTCGGACGGCGCAGCGTGACCGACTGGCGTGCGGTCGACACACGGCGTAGCCTTTGGCACAAAACGGTTCTCGGTCGGTCTCTGTCGGCGACGGTAGATTTGGCGGCGACGGCGGCGGCGCTGTGGCGGTGGCGGCGGTCGCGCCCTCACGCCCCTAACACGGTCGCCCGCGCACGCACAACTCTCAAGCACACCCGACGGTGCAGTAAAGAATCTCTTTGGTGTATATCATTTTTTTACAACAGACGCACCGCAAAAGGTGTCTTGTGTACCTGTGAGGTCGTGAGGATATATGTGGGTCTGTGTGTGTGTGTGTGTGTGTGTGTGTGTGTGTAATGTTATATGCAAAATACACAGTTTTTTTTGTTGTTGTCTTTTGACAGGGATTTTAATGTACGTATGTAAAAGTAAAACGTCTGTTTTCCTTAAAATTGTATCGACTAAGTCTATTACCAGTAGTCAGCGGTCGGAAAAATATTGTAACCTCTTTCACGAAATTACGCGAATCAATATTTTCGCATAGTTTTGTTACACGTATGTATTTATTGCCAATTAATAATATTAGTCAACAAGCAAAAACTTGTAAGACTGTAAAAATATTCGAACCTCAACAGTATGTATGACATTGGGCGCACTATCAAATTGATAATATGAAAATGAGGTGTAGTAATGCTAAACACTGTCGATCTAATCATTTTTTCTTTATTTTTCCCCATTTAACATAATTTAATAATACAGTTTTTTTTCTTTTGCACCTGGTCAACTCGAATATGTACGTGTCACATATGCAAAGTCATTCTAAGAAAAGAGAGCTAATTAAAAGATGTATTTTGAAGAAGGACTTGGTGAATGTTTAAATTTATGTTTAAATTCAAGGTTCTCTAACTTGAAATAGAGACTTAAATAATGTTTATAGCATGGCAGCACAATGTATGTGTGTGTGTACGTGTATGTGTACGCACGCTTGTACAAGTTCGTTTAACAAAGGTTTTAACTCATCACCGTTGCCATCAACGATCCGATCGGTTTACGATTACGGGTGACTACCAGTGGTTAAATTTTCTCAGATCCCACAAAGTTTTGGGTCCCACTGGTCAGTTATAGTCAATTACCGGCTACCGCTATCGTCGACTTATCCGGTCGTACGGGTCAAAAACTTATGCATATTATATAATACTTATTTAATATTTATTAAAGGAACATATGTTTGAGATACTAAGTAACTGTCATATTATAGTCTTTGGAAGACAAATTAGATTTTGGTTTTAATCACAAAAAAAATCGTCCAAGTACGAAGATAGTTGATACGTTAATCAGTTTGATTTGCTAGCAATACGTCGGTTACAACTTACGATATTACAAAGTTTTGTTTTGTTCTTTTTTTTTATTTCATTGTAAATATATAATATCATGGTGAATGTTATCACATTTTTAAATTATTAAAAAAATAATATTTACAATTTATACTTTGGAGCATGATAAAAAATTAGACAAAATGAATACATAAAACACAACAATAACACATGTGTGGAGAGAGATCATCCAGTGTTAAAATCAAACGTTATTGAATTTTTTTTCTATTCATTATAATTATTGATTCATTTACTATTTTAATTATCCAATAGATCCCAACACCAATTTCTCTGAAGTTGACAAGAATGCAAGTTCAATGATTAAAGGGTATAAATGAATCTATAATAAGGAATGCAATTTTTCATAGTATTTTGTATTTAATTGATTTACTGATTCTATATATATATATAAGTAATTTTTAAATATGAATTATTAGAGAATAAACAGCATTGTGTAGAAAAGGTAATAATAAGGACAGTGACGGATTAGAAGATTTATAGGGTACGAATGTTCGAGTAAATAATGGATTGGTAGGTCACCAAATTTGAATTGCATAAGCTCAAATAGATCTTATTAGATTATCCTAAGAATACGGTCAAACTATATCCATACCGGCTGAACATGCCAATCTTCAACAATAATAAAACCGACAATGTGATTTATTGCTTTAGTCAGATTACATCTGACTAATTTGATAATACAGGGCTAAAAAAAAATTATGTTATTTTTTTGGCCAAACCTACCAGAAAAATTTAACTTTAAAAATTGATATTTATTTTTTTATAATTAAGAAATCAAAAACTTTAGATATTTAAAAATTACTTCAAATGTTTATTTTAAAACTATCTATATTGTAATAAAACTTTCAAAATATTTCGTCTTATTTTAAACTGTTTATTGAAATATTCAATTTTTTTATAAGTGTTGAGAATTTATAAATTGTGACCTTAGTGTAGATGATTAGTTTTTATTTAAGTATTAGACGAAGAAAATGGAGCTTCTTAACTATTGAGAATATTTTCCTTCTATATTTGATATGGAGAACCCCCTCCCAAAATTAAATCATCATCAAAGTCAATCATTTATCAAGTAAGATACCAGGATATTTAAATACTGAAGATATCGGAATTGATATTCCTAAGAATAGGAGGAGTTATTGATTTTTAATATAAATAGAATGCTTATTGCTTTATCAATTATCTTGATTGGTTTTAATAGTTTTCCATTGGGGTGGTCAATCATCAATAAACTCAAATACACATTTTCAGGTAAAGGCATTGTTTCGCCACTTGCATAAGTAACCAAAACAATACTAAAGATTTTTGAATATTAGTTGAATAAACATTAAATAGATTTAAAAAAGGATGCTATTTTTTAGTAAATAAAAATCCTGCTAAAATTTGGTAATTTTAAAATAAGTAGTTACCATATCGAGTTAGGTAAGTATGATTTTCTAAATTTGAACAAATTATCTATAAAATAATATGGTGCAAAAAAAAAACAATATTTTAGTTTAAGAATAAGTTCTTATGCCAATAATAATTATACCCGATCAAAAGCTTGAATTAATATAAATATCCTAGGTGGTATTGTCTATTTTAAACGAAGATGAAACTTAGTTAATTAATCTGTGAATTTTATGTACCAAATAATTTAATAAGATATCGTAACTATGTACCTTTATATATTTCCATTTTATTTGATTATTATATAACTATTCTGCTGTTAATATTTTACATTTTAATTTTTATGTATTTATGTTTATTTGGCCTTCTTTAAATTCCCATTCATATTACAGTTTCTAAATTTTACCTACAATTTATTTGTTTAGTTTTGTTTTGTTATGCCCCCAGGTGTAATATACTGCAGCAATAATTTCAAATTTCAAATTTTCATTAAGTATGTTTCAGTCATTTCACTTCACAATTTACACAAAGTTCTACATTTAGCCCTTATTGAACACAATATTTTTTAATTCTACGAAAAACTTTTCTAAAGAAAAATGTATGAATAGTACAAATATATTTTTGGAAAATAACATTAAATAGTCTACATAAATTTATATTTAAAAGTAAATAGCGTACATATTTAAAATCATTTATTTTTCTATTTTATTGCTTGTTATTTATCGAAACGTATGAAAATATATGAAATTCAGTATACTTTTATTTAATATGGTTTATTATGATATGAAATAAGATTCAATCGTAATTTTTCATTTTCTTACCGAAAATAGCAGTTAATTTATCTACTTTAATTCTGTAAAAATTAAGTACCTACATAATACCTCAAATCAGCTCCATAAAAGATTTAGATGTTGCATATTATAATAAAGGTGTATACCTTATTATAATACATATAACACATCATACCACTAAAATATTAAGTATCTAAATGAAAAAAAACATTCATACACCTACCACATGTGTTGAAAAACTAACAATAACTTTTTGTTTTAAACTGACCATAAAATTATTAAAAACTTAAATGTTTACCTATACGAAATCTTTAAATTATTAAATGATGTAGTTAATCAATAAATCATAAACATCAAAATTTTTTAAATAAAAATATTTCATTTCATAACACATTTTTATTACATTGGCCTAGTCCATTTTTTGTGATAAATTGATTTTAATTTGGAAATTTCCATTAGAAAAACTCTTATATTTCATAGCAAAAAAATAGTTTAAAACATATGGCGTCTAAATATTATTACTTATCTTATCATTTTAACTTCAGATTTCCGTTTATAAATGTGATTATTTATTCTCAGCCATAAATACAATTTCATACATACATAAAACAAATATAACATTTAAATTGAGATAATTACTTACATACATAATATATTAATATAATTAATTCATTCTAAGAACATACATGTCTATCATATTATATTATTACTTACATAGATTAATGTTATAAATTATACACACGTTATTGCTGAAATTGGCAAATTGGTAGATAAATGAATAATTAATGGATTGATGGATTGATAAATTGGTGACTAGGTAGAAACTTTCTCGATAAGCCAATTTCCATGTAGGCAACTTAAATATTTAATTTTTTTTGGAAAACTAAGTATATTTTTTTAAGTCGACGATTATATAATGCAAGTACCTATTTTAAAATTGACCAATTTAACCAAATACGGTAAAAGTATTGATATAATTAATTAATTTTAACTTGAAAACAATAAAAAATATATTACTATGGATTGTCTAAAATCAGAATTAATAAATTTTGCTTCAAGTTGGAATAAAATTGAAAACCCGTTACTAGATTCATAATTAATACAAATTTTAATTGTTATGACAAATATTACCTTACTATTTATTTTATTGTAAATATTTAGATTTCATATTATTTATATCTATTAAAAAACATATTTGAGTAATAACCATTTCAAAATATAAATGTATATAGTCTAAATAATCTAATAAAGCTGTATAGTTCATTTAGCATGTATGTTAAATGTTAATTTATGCATTATCATATTTTATAGAGCACTCTATACTACACATCATACATATTCAAAACTTAAAAAAAAATTACATTTTGTTATCTAATTTACTATCGATAATGCACTTAATGTACAACCCGAAACATTAAAGATGCATTCAGCTTATAAAAATAATTTTAATGGATTAAT